TTATGAACAAAAAGTGTACATAAGGATCATGTTTTTCAACGGTGATGTCGCATTACATGTCACATTTTTTTCACAAGGAAGGCACATTGCAGCGCAAAATTTTATTCAACTCATATGCATGATACAGTGTGCATTAAAATCCTTTTACCTGAAAGTTGTGAAGGAAATCATAGAAGGATGGTCTGAATTTGTACAACTAAAACTGATTATATTCTCAAATTGATAAGCAATGCCATCGTTCCTGAGAATGTGATAGATAGCATCAAGTTCACGAGATGAATGCTAAAGAAAGCTACTGGTTTGAGGGCGACATCTCCAAGCAAGTGATCATTGATATCATAATTTGTGTATCAAAGTCATCTCCAGGAATGATGATAAAGAACCCACATTTAAAACGTTGATGGTAATCGAGAAGCCCAGTCCAAAAATGCATGTCTTTTGAGAATATCTTTATCATTAATGTAGATGTAAATAAGTTTGTTTTGCATAGAAAATAATTAGATAGTATAAAATATATTGCATCCATTCTATTGACATAAATTTGTTGTGGCCATATTCTGTGAGGCCGGGAAGGAAGATAAACAACGGCACAGATTGGGTGTCTTGTTAAAATAGAGGATGTCGACATGTGTAGGGTGCGTGTGATTTTTTTATTCCATTGCAATGCAGGGGCATATGCGGACTCATCTCCTTGTTGTACATTTACAAAGAGAAAGAGGACGTGAATGAGGATATGCAACAACACGGGTGGGATGCCATGTTGAAATAGAGGATATGAGTCAGGGTTTTGATCTTCCGTTGCAACGCACGGGCCTATGTCCTAGTCTTTCCATATATATATATATAGCCGCCCCCGGGAGCTATGCGACGATGCAGCAGCAAGAGCTAGCGCACTAGAAACAGCAATGGCCGCGCCTTCCGCCGTCGGCTGCTTCCTCGGCCTCGCCTTCCTGCTCTGCGGCGCCGTCCGTGGCGCGCTCGACGCGGAGGCCGCGCGGCAGCAGGCGGCGGACCGCGTGGGGCGGCTGCCGGGGCAGCCGGCCGTGAAGTTCGCGCAGTACGCCGGGTACGTGACCGTGAACGAGGCGCACGGCCGCGCGCTCTTCTACTGGTTCTTCGAGGCCACCGCCGGCGCCGCCAAGAAGCCGCTCGTGCTCTGGCTCAACGGCGGTACGTAACCACCAGTCCACCACCATTAATAGGTTCTTGCAACGGCCGGCTCATCGTGCGTGTTTAATACTGCTGCAAGTAGTAGTAGATGGGAAATCGGGAGATGGGGATAGGGTCGGTTGGGCCGCTTGAATTCTGTCGCCACTGATAATTGATTGAGGCGGACGTTTGTTCTTCCTTCCAGATGAACACATTGATTTAGTGAGCGAAGAATCTTCAAAAATTTAAGTAAGGAAGTGGTTAGTTGGGCTGCGTTGTCCTGCAGCCGAGAACATGCTCTGAGTATCAGTCGAAGGTACATGTATGATGTACTACTACTATCTGCGCTGTGCCCATTTAATAGCAACATTTTAAGTTTTTGAAAGGCTTCTTTTTTCTCTAAAAAATATTGAAAGGCGCGACATTTTAAGTGATCAGGGTGGCTGTTTGATAGTGGAAACTTAGACAGTGGAAGCTACAAATTAACCTCAATTTTTTGACAAAGGGTTGTTTTTTCGACAAAATTAATCCGAAATGCACTCGCATGCTTAATTTGTCAAATATTTGACCAATTTTGACAAACCCCGTATGTGTAAAGTAGCGGTTGATGAATTGGACTGTACTGAGCTAATTTTGTAAGCTGCTGTGGAATATTATTTAGTTGGAGAAACGTAGGGCCCTATTTCACAAATAAGGCTACAAATCTAGCTAACTCTATAGTACCAAAATGAATGTCCTAACTTACCACATGATTGGACGTATCCTTTCTGTTAGCCAGGACGCAAATTTCAAACCCTTTTGTGTAGGTCATGCATGCGGAAGCCGTATAATTATGGCAAACAACAAAATATTTGAAATTAGGTGATTTAGCCCAACGAGTTTAATTACCATACGCTATACATCCAATTGCCATATAGTAATGTTTTTGGGGAAACTTGGTCATACTTCCTAAACTTTGGTCGTTGACACCTGCATGATATGAATAGACACATGAAAATGATAGGTAGTGATAGGTTTTCATTATTCCTGAAATCGTCATTTTGCTCTACTGTAAAATATACTTGTATGATTAGCTATACTCCGTACTGCCCCCATAAAAAAGCTATACTCCATACTAAACTATCTACATAAACCTATCTTGCCGGAGCAAAGTTTTTTTAAATAGAGAGTTATATTAATTAAGTAGAGAAAACATTGTTTGTACAATCACGCAAGGCCACATTCAACACGCAGGTTGGCACTGTACCATACATAACCCCATCATGCAAGTCTCTTCGTCCAAATTGAGCAAGACTATGAACTAAATATTTTCTCTTCTATCTACTTTACATATTTTATCTTGTCTGTTCCCTTGTTTGATGGCTTGAAATTCCTTCCCAGTCGCTCCAATTTCCGATCTATCAAAGTTTGAAGCTTAGTTGGGACTACTTCATATAGATTAGGTTGTGATTATCTACATTTTTTTGTTGATCTTTCTACATACATGATTAGTTATATACCAAAGTATTTACATAAGATGGCGTTGCCGGATCTATTTTGAAATTTTCAGTTGATATAACCTTAGTTTAAGACTGCGACACTTATTATGGATCGGAGGGAGTTCTTCATTCTCGATAGAATGGACATACTCTCTCCGTCCCATAGTAACATCTTATTTTCTACATATTGACTGTAATAATATTTTATATTATGGGCGAAGGGAGAGTAGAAATTAAGTGAGGTGCCCCACATTTCATTTCCTTTTCGATCCGATCCTAGCCAATTCTACGGTCAAGCTGCAGTGGAGAACAAGCCGACGATGGCCACACGCTGTCCGGCCGGGCCGATCGAAGTTGCTGTCCACAAGAGCAATGTGTTGCTGTCATGCACGCTCCTAGGCTCCTACTGCGAGCTACTATGCGCTGCCAGTGCGTGACCGGCGGTTGTGTATGACAGGGCCATACGGCACAGTAGCCAGCTGCTGGTCCCGTATGCACGTAGGTTGGACAAGGACGGCCCGGGGCGGCACGCTAGCTACAGTCCTGGCCTGGTCAACACGGACGGCAGCTTATCTCCGGCAGCAAATTGAGGGGGGTCCATGCAGCCAATTGACGGTATCTTGTGGGGCACTTCACGTAAGTAATTCTCGTGGGGGCTAGATAAACCGGGAATTTCTGTACCGAAATCATGTTTTAGTAAATTTCAAAAAATAAGAAAGAATTCATGCATCTAGAGAATGGTTGCAAATTATATACTCCATGTGCGTATAAATTTGTAAGTTCTTGAAACTTACCCATATGTAACGAATTTCTTGGAGGAAACAAAATCTATAAATGAGCATTTCTCGGGCTCGATTGACAACATCCTAAGCAAAGTGCCATAGAGGTCTAACGGTATTAATTTGTTTGCTTGCATACATCGGGCAGCTGTTTTTCGGGCCATGGCTAGTACTCCCTCCGTTCCAAATTACTTGGCGACGAGTAACTTGGAACGGAGGGAGTACGTACTAGTATTTCACTTTTGCAGCTAGCTTGTGCTTGTGGAGAATGACTCCCGTGGACAATGGATGCCATAAATATACAGTAGCTAGCTAGCTAGGTATGGATAAGACGTCAGATTTTTCTTTAGAAGTATAATTAAAACAAGGTTCAAATAAGATCGAGCTCCGTCGAGCGTTGGTTTTATCTGTGTTTGTTCGGTCGCCGGCCGGGCACTTATTGGCAGCCATTCCATTGTTTCGTCCTTGTCCGCACTTATAGGAAGCCGACGATTCACTTTTGCGACCTATAGCTTTCAGAATATAAACTTAAACAACCATGCACGCACATATAACGAACGATCGCTATGGGCTTGGGTACGGGCGTGATGTTTGATCCGATCCAGCTGCTCTAATTAGCTAACGCACGCGCGCCCCGGGCCAGCCGGCCATTCCGATGCAGTACAGCGATATGTGCATATACACCACGCATCATCAAGTTGGAGCAAAGCATCTCATCTCATCCATCATCCATGCATGGAGCCGGTCTAGGATAGAAAGGTTGCCCGCCCCCTTTTGTTTTGAAATGTATGGAGCCGTACCACACGTAGCCATCAAGCTGGATGGGATCGTGGGCAATCAAGCTAGCTAGAGGGCACCGCCAAGAGGAATCGGGAGAAGACGGTTGGCGCGCGCGCTTGGACGAGCACGAACACGAGCATGAGCAGGGGACCATGCGTGCATGCGCCTTAGGCTGCGCGTGAGGCGAGGTGCAGCGTGCACCCGCCCCACCGCAACGCGCAACTTGCACGAATGCGCCCACGGAATCGAAGCGGGCAAAGATCTGAACAAGGGCAGGCGACGAGCAGGGCAGCATACTGTCTGATCTGTATGTATGCGTAGCGCTGTGCTGCACCGGTCGGTTGACCGATCCATCACGATCACATGCTCCAACGGGCAAAAGGCGCGGGCCAGAAAGGGGGTCAGGAATGCGAAACATCTTGCCGCCGGTCCATACCTAGCTAGCTGGGCGGGCGCTATGACAAACGGCGGCTCGCGTCGTGGCGCGCACGCCTGATCTACGTACTCGAATGTACTAGTACGTGATGCAGAGATATAGGAGGAATATCTTGGTCACGAGCGAGTGACAGAGAGTACTCTTGTCTGTTGCATTGCAGGGCCGGGCTGTTCGTCCATCGGGTATGGAGAGGCAGAGGAGCTCGGGCCCTTCTTGGTCCAGAAGGGCAAGCCGGAGCTGAAATGGAACCCTTACTCGTGGAACAAAGGCACGTCCCACCCTTTTTTCCCATGATAGCCAAAAAAAAAGGCAAAATCTACTCTGTGGATATTTATGTTCTACTACTATATGGTGATGAAAAATGCAGAGGCTAACCTAATGTTCTTGGAGTCCCCGGTGGGCGTCGGTTTCTCCTACACCAACACAAGCTCCGACCTGGGCAAGCTTGGTGACAAGATCACCGGTACATAACAATCCTCCCAGGTTCCCTCCAGGGCAAACAACGGTCCTGAATTTCTGACTGGATTATATATCATGCCCACAGCCGCCGACGCGTACGTCTTCCTGCTCAACTGGTTCAAGCGGTTCCCGCAGTACAAGCACCACGAGTTCTACATCGCCGGGGAGAGTTACGCTGGTACGCACAACATTTTAACGTCTGAGCTTCTGCAATTCGGTCGGAGCACGCAACTGAAACTTGAGACTGATGGGCGTGGCGCTCTTGTCAGGGCATTACGTTCCGCAGCTGTCGGAGAAGATCTTCGACGGCAACAAGCACGGGCCCAAGGAGAACCGCATCAACTTCAAGGGCCTCATGGTAGCCAATTGGCCACACCCTCGTCGTAATATACGTCCTTGTTAATTACAGCTCGCAAGCTGCTTAATTAATCATGGCGATCGACGGCGGCGATGATGCAGATAGGGAATGCACTGATGGACGACGAGACGGACCAGGCGGGCATGGTCCAGTACGCGTGGGACCACGCCGTGATCTCCGACCGGGTGTACGCCGACGTCAAGGCCCACTGCGACTTCGCCATGGCCAACACCACCGCCGAGTGCGACCAGGCGCTGGAAGAGTACTTCGCCGTCTACCGCCTCATCGACATGTACAGCCTCTACACGCCCGTCTGCACCGACGGCTCCTCCTCCTCGCCGCTCGCCAAGAGGGTCGGCGTCCACGGCGCCGCCCCCAAGATCTTCTCCAAATATGTACTCTTCGATCATCACCGTCTCCACCCCTCAAGTCAAAACACATCGGCATCTGCCCCGCGGTTCGATCATTTGATTGTTTGTTTCTCCTGTGTGCATTGCAGCATGGGTGGTACATGAGACCTGCAGGCTACGATCCCTGCACGACCCAATACTCCGAGGTCTACTTCAACCGGCCGGATGTCCAGGCGGCGCTGCACGCGAACGTGACCAAGATCGGCTACAATTGGACGCATTGCAGCGACGTGATCGGCAAGTGGAACGACGCCGTCCCCTCCACCCTCCCCATCATCCGCAAGCTCGTCGCCGGCGGAATCAGGGTCTGGGTTTTCAGGTGAGCCAGCATGTCAATGTCAATGTGAGCAGGTTTCGGTGTTACGAGGGGCAGCTTTGGATTTGAATTGACAATGTCGCTCGACGCAACAGCGGTGACACCGATGGGAGGATCCCCGTGACGGCGACGAGGCTGACCCTGAACAAGCTCGGGCTCAAGACTGTCCAGGAGTGGACGCCGTGGTACGACCGGCTGCAGGTGGGTGGGTGGACGATCACCTACGAGGGCCTCACGTTCGTGACGATCCGCGGGGCCGGGCACGAGGTCCCTATGCACACGCCGAGGCAGGCGCTCAGTCTCTTCAGCCACTTTTTGGGTGATAAGAAGATGCCGACGACGGCCTTCTCCTAGAGACGAAACTTTCCACGTGACAAGGGTCTTCCTTTTCTTTGTTCTCGGCCAATGCCATAGATGTAATTCGATTGGAACAATCGTTAATAAACATGTAATAGCGCTGATTGGTTTCGCGGATCGCAGCATACTGGCCCGTCTTGGATCGCAAGTTCGAAAAACACTCGAATGCACGCTTGGGGCATCTCCAACACTGACCTCCAATTTTCCTCTTGCAACAGTCCACATACATGGATGCGGGAGCCAGCCATTTAATTATCAGCATACAATTGAAACAGGATTTGAACAAAACGGACAAAATTCATGAAACCGGCTGGATTTCATATAAACCGGATCAAATTCATTACATTTCGGACATATTTTAACTAAACCTGACTCTAAACCTAATCTAAATGATTGACGTCGTTTGTTTGGGTGTGAGCACCGTGAAATGAAGCTCTAGCTCCGCCTTCGCGGTTTCCAGGTCCATCATAGCAGTCTCCTGCTCTGCCTCTGCAGCTTGAGCGGCTAATCGGCCAACGATGAACAAGCCGTCAAGCTTAGCTTCAACGGGAGGGAAGGAGCGGTGGCCTTTTTGGGACCCGAATGGCAGCGGCCTACCAGGCAGTACTCTTCCTCGCTACCGGCGGCGCCTGCGGACATGCCGACTTCGTGGTCGCGGCGGCGAGACACAGCCGTGGCGGACCTGGCGATGTCCTCCTCGTCGCCGCTCTTGCTGAACACCTCATGTGCTCCCTCGTCCATCTCCTTGTAGGTGGCATGTAAATCCGCCTGATACTGGATGTACCACCAGCGGTCGCGACAGATTTTGCGGGTGGTGCAATAGGAGTCGACCAACGCCTCCTACACGTCCACATCCACGTCCGACACTATGGTCGTGCCGATGGTGAGTTGCTCCTCCGCGCGCCGGTGCTTGTCGAGGAGGCAGAGTTGTAGGCCTGGTCGGCCTACGCCTGCCGGAACTTGGCCTCCTGCTCCTCTAGCACCATGTCCGTGTAGTGGGCTCAAGCCTCACCAATGGTGACGCCGGCATGCACCGGCGAGAGAGGGTGGCACCTGTTCATCCTCGATTGCATCCTCCATTGGGACATTCGCAACACCGGCCTCCATCCTCCTGTCGGCCTGCCAGCCGGCTGCAATGACGGCGATCTTCTTTTTCTGCTTGGACGAGAGGCTGTCCCAAACGGCTTTGGAGCTCAAGGAGGCCATGGCGGGTTGGTGCAGAGAGGAGGAAGGGAGCGGAGGATGATGGATGCGGCTATGGCTGGGCCTGCAGTTTACATACAGGGAGGATGGCAGGGTAACCAGCGACGTGATTAATGGTGAATGGCAGACGGACAGGCGGGTGGCGCCAGCTCGCCATTCTTCGGCAGCCGCACACATGTTTAATGCAGGTAGGCGGACGAATGGGTTGTCGTTTGAACGCGGGCAGCCACATGCACACGGAAGCGATAGGACGACACTCTCGATCGGCGCGCTGTTTTAATGCCTGAGCGTTGTGAGAGGTCGTGTCGCTCTGAGCCAGCATGAATATGGCACTAGTGCTCTGGAGCGACGCTGGCCTTTTTGGGCGGGAACGTGCGCGGATGGCCTTTTTTGCGGGCTAGGTTAGTCAGGCGTGGGTGTGGCTGCGGTCCGGATGCCCGTAAAGCCCCGCCCCCTCACTTTGTATCTGGTTTATGGGAAAAGCATGTCCGAACCGGCCTGCAGACTGACACAGGCCCGCGTTGGATGGCAAAACATGTCTGAACCGAGCGGTCTGGACGGTTGTGGGTGGTTTGAGGGTTTGCGTTGGAGATGCCTTTAGGGCATGTTTGTTTGCCGCCTTGCAACTCATAACGGCCTTGAGGATGCAAATTTGGCCTTTTGCTTGCACGGGGTGCATCGAACTCTTAGCCCACACAGTTCTTAAAGCGGCCATGGCTTGGTCGAGGAGGAACTTTCAAATCGGCCTTTGGCGTCGATGGCTGCTCTGCTCCATCACCTTCAATGCGCCGCAGGATCCTCCTCTCCCCGACCCCAATCAGTAGTGCTCATCTCCAATAGCTCGCTCACATTGAGGCGAGGCCCCTCAACCGAGAGAGTTGCAGAGGATGTTGAAGGTTCCTCTCCTCATCTGCACCAAGCCGCGGTCATCATGTATCGAGCCCCCATCGACGGCTAGTACGCCGACTACAACGAATGGGTCTTTGGTTGCGTTTGTCAGGGCATCTGCAACGGCGGTGTCGGGTGGTCGCTCATGTTTCTTCTTCGTCTCTCGCAACATCCACTCCACCTTTGGCAGATGATGTAAGTATATCAAACCTCAATCTTGCTTCATAGGATGTAGATTGGGGCCAGTTTGACTATAGTTAGTTTTTTTTGCTCTAACGGCAATGCCATTTTGCAGGCTAGGTACGCCTCTGATGGCAATGCTTACTTCCTGGTGGATTGGATACACGGTTAAGATACTTTTTTATTGGGGAACGCAGTAATTTCAAAAAAAATCCTATAATCACGCAAGATCTATCTAGATGATGCATAGCAACGAGAACGGAGAGTGTTCTCACGTACCCTCGTAGACCGAAAGCGGAAGCGTTTCAATAACGCGGTTAATGTAGTCAAACTTCTTCGCGATCCAACCGATCAAGTACCGAACGCATGACACCTCTGCGTTCAGTACACGTTCAGCTCGATGACGTCCCTCGTGCTCTTGATCCAGTTGAGGACGAGTGTGAGTTCCGTCAGCACGACGGCGTGGCAACGATGATGATGATGGTACCGGCGCAGGTCTTCACCTAGGCACTACAATGGTATGATCGAGGTTTGTAACTGTGGAGGGGCACCGCACACGGTTGGGAGAGGAACTTGTGTGTTCTAAGGTGCCCCCTGCCCCCGTATATAAAGGATCAAGGAGGAGGCCGATCGGCCCCTAGGGTGCGCCCCAAAGAGGGGAGTCCTACTAGGACTACTAGTCCTAGTAGGATTCCACCAAGAGGGAGAAAGGGGGAAGGAAGGAGAGGGAGAGGGAGAGGGAGAAGGAAAAGGGGGCTCCGCCCCCCTTCCCTAGTCCAATTCGGACCCAAGGGGGAGGAGGCGCGTGGCCTGCCCTGGCCGCCCCTCTCTCTCTCCACCAAGGCCCGCCCATTAGTTCCCCAGGGGGTTCCGATAACCCCTCTGGCACTCCGGTTTTACCCGAAACTTTCTGGAACACTTCTGGTGTCCGAATATAGCCGTCCAATATATCAATCTTTATATCTCGACCATTTTGAGACTCCTCGTCATGTCCGTGATCTCATCTGGGACTCCGAACAAACTTCGGTCATTAAAAACACATAACTCATAATACATATCATCATCGAACGTTAAGCGTGCGGACCCTATGGGTTCGAGAACTATGTAGACATGACCGAGGCACATCTCCGGTCAATAACCAATAGCGAAACCTTGATGCTCATATTGGCTCCTACATATTCTATGAAGATCTTTATCGGTCAAATCGCATAACAACATACGTTGTTCCCTTTGTCATCGGTATGTTACTTGCTCGAGATTCGATCGTCGGTATCATCATACCTAGTTCAATCTCGTTACTGGCAAGTCTCTTTACTTGTTCTGTAATACTTCATCCCGCAACTAACTCATTAGTCACAATGGTTGCAAGTCTTATAGTGATGAGCATTACCGAGAGGGCCCAGAGACACCTCTCCGAAACATGGAGTGACAAATCCTAATCTCGATCTATGCCAACCCAACAAACACCTTCGGAGACACCTGTAGAGCATCTTTATAATCACCCATTTACGTTGTGATGTTTGATAGCACACAAGGTGTTCCTCCGGTATTCGGGAGTTGCATAATCTCATAGTCTGAGGAACATGTATAAGTCATGAAGAAAGCAGTAGCAATGAAACTGTAACAGTCATAATGCTAAGCTAACGGATAGGTCATGTCCATCACATCATTCTATAATGATGTGATCTCTTTCATCAAATGAAAACACATGTGTATTGTTAGGAAACATAACCATCTTTGATTAACAAGCTAGTCAAGTAGAGGCATACTATGGACACTATATTTTGTCTATGTATTCACACATGTACTAAGTTTCCGGTTAATATAATTCTAGCATGAATAATAAACATTTATCATGAAATAAGGAAATAAATAATAACTTTATTATTGCCTCTAGGGCATATTTCCTTCAGTCTCCCACTTTCACTAGAGTCAATAATCTAGATTACAAGGTAACATTCTAACACCCATGGAGTTTTGGTGTTGATCATGTTTTGCTCGTGGAAGAGGCTTAGTCAACGGATCTGCAACATTCAAATGTATGTATCTTGCAAATCTCTATGTCCCCCTCCGACACTTGATGACGGATGGAATTGAAGCGTCTATTGATGTGCTTGGTTCTCTTGTGAAATCTGGATTCCTTTGCCAAGGCAATTGCACTAGTATTGTCACAAAAGATTTTCATTGGACCCGATGCACTAGGTATGGCACCTAGATCGGATATGAACTCCTTCATCCAGACTCCTTCATTTGCTGCTTCTGAAGCAGCAATGTACTCCGCTTCACACATAGATCCTGCCACGACGCTCTGCTTGGAACTGCACCAACTGACAGCTCCTCCATTCAATAAAAATACGTATCCGGTTTGCGACTTAGAGTCATCCGGATCAATTTCAAAGCTTGCATCGACGTAACCGTTTACGACGAGCTTTCTGTCACCTCCATAAATGATAAACATATCCTTAGTCCTTTTTAGGCATTTCAGGATGTTCTTGACCGTTGTCCAGTGCTTCACTCCGGGATTACTTTGGTACCTCCCTGCTATTCTTATAGCAAGACACACATCAGGTATGGTACACAACATTGCATACATGATAGAACCTATGGCAGAAGCATAGGAATGACTTTCATTTTCTCTCTATCTTCTGCAGTGGTCGGGCATTGAGTTTGACTCAACTTCACACCTTGTAACATAGGCAGAACCCTTTCTTTGGCTGATCCATTTT